GTAGCAAATTTGTAAAAATGGCCAGGATCATGCAGATCTGATGTGCGGAGGTATGGTGCCAATGTCTGTGCTGGAGGGGATCTGGTGACCCTCAATTATGCCTCTTATGTTCCAAATCATTTATTGTGGTGCTTAAGGCTAAAAGTCCAAGTATTTTCAGCTAAAGAAGTTAGAAGATAAGTTCCCCAGATACCTGGACATCTGCAGCAATAGGACTCCCTAGGTCACCGGGTTCTTTGAAGGGATGGTAGTATTTATGGTAGCTGGTTCACTACAAGAAGATAAGTGATGGATACATGAATGGGGAGAGCAAGTTTCTGAAGCTGGTGGCCACTATCAAAGCTGGCTTGGCTCAAGGTCAACATGGCCTGAAGGCAAAGTCCAGGGACCTTGGCCCGGCTGTCTTCGCAGAAAGAACTGAAATGCCTCCTGGACACCTGGTCTTTTCTTGGTATTCCTGCAGCCCCTGGGGCATGGGCACAGATAGATATCCCTGGTCTTTGCCTCTGTGAGTGTGTGTGTGTGTGTATATGTGCACATGTATATATCTCAGGAATCTGGCTTTGCACAGTAGCTCTGCTTCCCTCCTATTCCCTACCCTTTACCATCTCTCCCTACAGTCTCTCATGTCTCCTTGTCTACCAACTGGAGTTTGGGACAGGTCCTGCTTCAGGCTTCCTTCTCAAGGTGGAGCCAAGAAAGGGAGCAGACTATGTGAGTGAGTGACTGTCTTAGCATGCCATACATTTGAAATGGTTCTCAATTCAATAAACATTGGATGAGTTGAACAAATAATAATGATGTCACTAATAATAATGGGTCATAGTGATTTAACTCAGTCTATACATTTCTCCCAAAACAGTGAATAGACGGGCATTTTATAAAAATTTGATTTATATTAAATAACAGCAAAACATCATTTTTATTCATGACATGGATGAAATGCATGAAATTGAGATGACATCAAGCATTTCCAAGGATGTGCAGAAGTGAGTCCTCTTTTACATGCTGCTGGAAGTGCTGGAATTTCCTTGGAGGGCACATGATTCAGCAGTTCTGCCCCTTGGCATCTATCCTAGAGAGATACACATAGGTGCCCAAGGAACCTTACAAAGGTGCTAGTATTGTTTTTCATAGCAGAACACTGGAAATTATCTAAATGTCCATCAATACAGAAATAGCTACATAAATTCTATCATACCCATATTATGGAGTGTTACACAGTCATTGAAAAGCATGAAATGTATCTATTTGAACCATATGAATAGATTGCCCATGTAAACTCCATGAACTCAGGTGGTTTGGTTTTCTTTCTCTTGGTTGTCCAATGTATTCTCTGTAATTTGGAACAGTGCCTGGCACCTAGTAGCCACCCAATAAATTATGTGTTCAATAAATGGAAGATGAGTAAAATGCATGTCATGCATAACACAATGATTCTTTTATATGTGATAATTGTTATTTAAAACAGAAAAAAAATAGTTTCTATTTTCTACGAATAAATACATGTGTGTTAAGGCTTAGAAAAATATCTGGAAGGATGTAAACAAATATAATTCACTGGGAGCAGGTAGGGAGGGCAATAGGGACTTTAGCCTTAACAATAATGTTTTAATTCTCATGAGAATATTCACGTATTACTTGGCTAATAAAAAATTAATTTAAAGATTTTTAAAATTCATAATTAAAACTATGGTGCTTGTTTTTGAGGGAGAGAAAAACAATTAGCCCAGTGCTTTTTAATTTTTTCCTTGTCTAGAAGTGGAATGAGTTTCAAGACTTGAAGATAGAATCCAGTTTGCAGGTGCACAAAAATTGGGGTGTGTGAGAGTAGGAGCCAGGCAGGCCATTGCAGGGCTAGGGTGGTGTTCATGGAGATTGGGATGAGGAAATGGGTCCCAGAAATTTTACCTAGGAAAAAGAGAATGGCAGAACTTGCAAAGGGATAAAGAAGAGAGAGACATTATAAAAGACTACAAAGCCAGGGTGACTAACATTGTTGAGTTACCAGCAGAGGGACTGTTCAGAAGAAACAGCTTGCTTTGAAGGGAAACAGTTAGTTTGGTTTGGGAAATTTGGGGCTTGTAGTGACTATGGCATGTCCAATTAAAATCCCTTTTAATCGGGATATTGTACTGGATATTGGCAAGGGATACTGTAGAAATAGTATGGGTGATGCTGATTTGAAAATTATTTGCATAGAGAGGGTAGTGGGTAATGGAGCAATCTAATTAGAATGAGTTCTCCATTGGAGCGCATGTAAGGACTAAAGGAGAGGGAGCAGCTCTCTAGTCTACAACCACCCCCAGTTAGGGTAATGCCCAGGTATGGTGCTTCTCCGTCAGTACCCCTGCATGTCACTCAAAAGGATGTCAACAACTGAACCTGGACCAATGTGAGTAACAGGAAGTATCTATTACCAAGTTCATTAACAAGAGTCCTGTTTATATCTCAGTCGTCAATTGCAGTCAATTGCCTGGACAAAGATGTCCTTAATTGGTAAGTCATTATTGCCCACAAGAGTTACAGCTTGTGTGAAATGCAACAATCTCATATTTCCTGGGAGGGTCCCCTTCCCTTTATGTAATATGGGACTAGTTATTGTACTGTGTCACAAGGGATGATCATCCACAAGAACACTAAATCACTTTATCTATGACATAATTTCAGGATGAGAGTCCTCAAAAGTAGTATTGCATTGATGCTCAAATCTCTACTAAAAGGCCAGGTCCCTTCTGTTTAACGTCTGGTTCTCAATTAAAGTGTACATAATCCCCATAGTGATGGCACCATGGAAGCTACTCTAACACTGGAATCAACCCAACTGAGAATCAAATCCCAATTTTACCACTTCAGCTCTTTGAACTTGCCTCTCTAAGCCTCTGTTTGGACAGCTGTAAAATGGAGTGATAATGTGTGTCTCAGAGTTGTTACATAAAATAAAGGAAATGATATATGTGGATCACATAACACATGATAGCCCCAAAATAAATATCCATCCCCCTTTCGCTTGTCTACTTTCTGAGGAGACAAAAGGAGACAATTCCTGAAGGACAGGGATGAGAAAGGCACACCTGGCCTGTCACACGGATTTGGTTCCTCGTAGAACTACACACTACTCTAAATGATGAGTTTGCTGATAACTAAACTTTGATGAGATAGGTCTGTGATCAACTGGATTTTGAACATAACCAAAGTTTATCCCATGTAAAAAAAAATTCAACCTGCACACACTAAGAAAGGAATACATAAAATGAGCAAATGACATAACTCTTTTTTCCAGAATCCCAGGTAAGAGAAGAGGATAAAAGTAGAAAAGTTCTTTCATTTAAAAGGACAGTCCCAAAGCATTCACCATTTCACATTTAAATGCCATCCCACTTAGCTTATCCTGTTGCTCTCCACGACAGAGCCAGTCAGGGCATGTGCTAGAAGTAAAAGGGATATAGGAAGACAAGAGGAGAGGCAAGAACAGTGATCAGAGTGGAGCCAAGATCCCAGGGCCTGCTGTCTTACTGCACCTGCATGGAGCCAGAGCACCTGGCTGCATGGGAGAACAGTTTGGCCATCAGTATGTTCCATCCTTATGGTGCTCGTGGCTTGGGTAGCTCCTGAACTTTTCATGCTGTGTTTGCATTCTTGGCTGTCAAATGGACCTAATCATTCCAGAGGGTTGGAAATAAATTAACAACAGGAAAGAAAAGAATTGCCTCTTCATGTACCTTTCCCAATAACCCCTAGCCAGAAGATAAAACACACATTACTATCACCATGTGCACTATTTCAGAACTATTTTAACCAATCCTCCCAGCCTTCCTTAAATTTCATTAAATTATTAATGTATTTAGCCAAATATATGGTGAAATTTAAGTAAATTTTGATAACATAAAGGAAAACAGGTTTGTGAGCAGCCTAAATTCCACAGTCCAATCCTCGCTGTGCCATGTATTAGCTGTGTAACATTAGGCACATGCCCATTTTTTCTGTGCCTCAGTTTCCTCACCTGTAAAGTGGTAAATGGATAATATTACTGCCTTCTTTATTATTAGCACCTATTTCATAGGTTAATTTAAAGGACTAAATAAGTGAACAGACACAAAGCTCTTAGGCCAATAGATTCTACTAAAGCAAAAGCATATATTGGGCATACAGTTAGAGTTCAGTAATATTAGCTATTATTATTGTTGCTATTATTAACAACAGTTTAATATCATAAGATTGTGAGGCATCATAAGAAACCATCTAACTCCTGCACTCTGAGTATTATTTTCAGCTCTATCTCATTAATTACTCCATGACTCTGTTAATTCTATCATTTAACCCATTTTTAGGATTTTCTTGAGTATGTGTATATATATTATTTACATGTGGCTTTTAGCAACCCTGATAAAGCATGGCACAGTGACCACATGTCCTAGATTTTCTTGAATAACCCAATTTTATTCTTTTTGCATTAAAAGACTTAATTTGTTAAATGCATACCTAAATCGGATTTAACTTTGTATCACTGCAAGATTTCCACATATATAATTTTACAAATCAAGCATAAATCTTTGCTCTTGACTTTACATCCAAAAATGATTATAACAAGTATACGTAATTTTAAAAGAATAGTTTCTAATAATTCCCATGTTAGTAACAACACATCTAAGAATTACAAATAAAATGTGTTGAGGGCTTTTGACCTAGAGATTCATTTTGTCGCTAAGGAAAATTGCTTGCACCTTGACCAGCGTAGTGCTTTACACAGGGAGTAAGCAATTAGAGTAAAATCTTTCTGATTCACCCTAATGACCACAAGACCCAAAGAACACATGATCTACTGACTTTTGCTTATTAGTAAGAATGTGAAAAGATGAGATTAAAAACTAAACAGGCTATTTTATACATATGTTTTTTAACTGAGAGATACCATGTGTTTTTATCACATGCAACATGATGTTTTGAAGTACATATACATTAGGGAATAATTCAGTCTAGCTAATTAACAAATGCATTACCTCACATAGCATTCCACTGTGTAGATGTGCATATATTTTCTTTATCCATTTATTTATTGATAGACACTTCTTAGGTTGGTTCCCTATCTTGGCCATTGTGAAGAGGGCTGCAATAAAGAACATGAGCAACAAAAACAAAAATGTAGAATTACATCAAACTAAAAGGCTTCTGCACAGCAGGAGAAACGATAAAGAGACAACCTACTGAATGGGAGAAAATATTTGCAAACTACACATCTGAAAAAGGGTTAATATCCAAAATATATACAAAACTCAAACAACTCAGGAGCAAAAAAAAATAATAACCTGATTTGAAAATGGCCAAAAGACTTGAATAGACATTCTCAAAAGAAGACATACAAATGGCCAACAGATATATTTTAAAAATTAATATCGCTAATCATCAGGGAAATGCGAATCAAAACCACAATGAGGTATCCCCTCACCCCAGTTGGAAAGGCTATTATCAAAAAGACAAAAAGATAACAAGTGCTGGCAAAGATGTGGAAAAAAGGAAACTCATCTATACAGTTGGTGGGAATGTAAACTGGTACAGCCATTATAGAAAACAGTGTGGGGGCACTTCAAAAATTAAAAATACAACTGCCATATGATCCAGGAATCCCACTACAAGGTATACATCCAAAGGAAATGAAATCAGCATGTTGAAGAGCTAACTGCAAACAGGCTATTTTATATATTAGAAATACATCTCAGTGTTATTTGCACTTGTTTATTTTTTTTTTTAGGATATTTATACTAAAGGCACTCAGGAATCCAAAACTTCTCTTTTTTTACTATTATTATTATACTTTAAGTTCTAGGGTACATGTGCATATTTTTTTGGTTTGTTACATATGTATACTTGTGCCATGTTGGTGTGCTGTACCCATCAACTCATTAGCACCCATCAACTCGTCATTTACATCAGGTATAACTCCCAATGCAATCCCTCCTCCCTCCCCCCTCCTCACAATAGGCCCCGGTGTGTGATGCTCCCCTTCCCGAGTCCAAGTGATCTCATTGTTCAGTTCCCACCTATGAGTGAGAACATGCAGTGTTTGGTTTTCTGTTCTTGTGATAGTTTGCTGAGAATGATGGTTTCCAGCTGCATCCATGTCCCTACAAAGGACACAAACTCATCCTTTTTTATGGCAGCATAGTATTCCATGGTGTATATGTGCCACATTTTCTTAATCCAGTCTGTCACTGATGGACATTTGGGTTGATTCCAAGTCTTTGCTGTTGTGAATAGTGCCACAATGAACATACGTGTGCATGTGTCTTTATAGCAGCATGATTTATAATCCTTTGGGTATATACAGAATCCAAAACTTCTTTAAAACAAAGTAAAGTTTGTCATCCTTGCTATTAATTAGGGTGTGGTGGGGAGACAGTTCTCAAAAGAAGATTAAATTGGCTATGGCTCAACAGAAAAATACTAGAAGAAACTACTCCTTAGGTTTTGAATGAGAAGGCTTAGACTCTCCATTCCTGGCTCTGCCATGGACGACTTGTATGGTTTTGGGCAAATCACACATTCACTCAGCTTTATGATTGGAGTGAAACAGCACTAGGCCCTCTTTTAGAGTTTAGCAGCCTATAAATTATATGACTACTCAGTTTTGTTTTATTAAAAAAAAAAAAAAAAAGCTTGGTACTGGTTGCAGATGTTTCAAAAGGATCCTTCTTTTGACAGTTTATCTTTGCCGTCAAGATTTAATGGGGGTTGCTTAATTGCTTTATCTTGTTTAAATTGTACCCCTATCTCCAAATCCTATCTGGACAGGGCAAAAGAGACCACAGCCCCTATCAACCCATAGAAATTCTCACTGCCACCCATGGACATAAAATCTGTCATAGTAGACCCATGACTTTGTAGTCCATTCAATTCAGCTAATGCATAAATAATTCCAACTTGGAAATCTCCAGTGGGGGCTACAAAGGTCATGTTGTTCTCAGAAAGTAAAAGTCTCCTGGAGAAGAAAAAGAGATAGGTTTATAAATACTTCTACCTCAAAGGACTTTATATGAAATTCTATTGGAGAGGTGCAATGTACTCCAGGAGTTTGAAAAAGACAATAATTCTGGAAGACTCAGGAAAAACCCCATGGAGAAGTTGGGATTTTGGCTAGTTCCCAAACTAGGTTGGATTTAGACCAGTCAAAATGGCAATCCTTCAGGAGGAAGGATTGTTATTATAAAGAAACAGAATCAGAAGAGGAACATATAGTGGGTTCAGTTGTGTCCCCCAGAAAATATGTCTAAGTCCTAACCTCTGGTACCTGTAAGTGTGACCTTCAGAAATAAGATCTTTACAAATACAATTAAGTTAAGGATCTCAAAATGAGATCATCCTGGGTTTCAGGTGGGCCCTAAATCCTAAGGAAGTATTCTCAGACAGAAAAGGAGAAGGCACACAAAGACACAGAGAAGAAGTCCATGTGAACACTGGAGTGCTGCTGCCATAAGCCATGGAATACAGGACCCATAATGCACAATTTTCCTGAAAGTTCAGAAGCTGGAAGAGGCAAGAAAGGATTCTCCACTAGAGCCTTCAGAGAGTGTGTAGCCCTGTCAACAGCTGGATTTTGGACTTGGAGCCTCCAGAATTGTCAGAGAGTATGATTTTGTTGTTTTATGCCACCAGTTTGTGGTCATTTGTGGCAGCCATTTTGGGGAACTAATACTGGAGGTGTTTCCAGGAATGAAAAGTGAGGGGCCCACCTGGTTCTCTCTTGAGTGGTGTTAATTAAAGGAGTGGAGACTGTGGGGAGAAGGGCAAGAGAATAATGAAGGGATAAGACTTCAAAGACAGTTACAAATGCTGTAGAAAGCTCTTTGAATAGGAATAGAGACACACAAAGGCATTTGAGGCATAGTGAGAGTATCAAGACCAGGTGACTCAAGTTGTGTGTAAGACAGATGTGTAGGGGAAGAGATTAGAGACAGGAAACAGAAAGTTCAAGGAAAAGCAACAAGGGATTAAATCAAAGCAACAGCCACAGTGTTTAGACTTGGCAGATGTTGGACTGAGGATTTCGTGTTCAGCTCAATGGGTTAGGGAGTGGGAGAGAGAAGTCCAAGTGATTCTTATGGAAGCTCCAGTCATAAGGGTTTAGACAAAGGAAAAGAAAACAGTTACTGAGACAAAGAATTCATCAGAGAAGAAGAAAGAGAACCAGTGGAATACCAAAAGAGGCTAGAGACTCGAGTAGGAGGCAGCATCTAATGATACAGGCAGATCACACGGGCTTAATATAGAAAGCTTGGTGATTAAGTGGTTTCTGGTGATTTTTGAGAGCCCACTAGCCATGGAATAGCAGAAATGAAATACAATTTATAAGGGTGTAAAAAAAGAAATAAACATACCAAGTTTAGTGTACCCATTTATTTTTGGTAGAATAGAATAATGTGTGAGATGTAACTTAATTAATTAGAGTGGGGTGGGGAGGTAGTTCTCAAAAGAAGACTAAATTGGCTATGCCTCAACAGAAAAATTCTAGAAGAAACTACTCTTTAGGTTTTGAGTAAGAAGACATAGACTCTCCATTCCTGTCTCTACCACAGATCAGTTGTATGGCTTAGAAGTGTCAAGAAAAGGTCCTTTAGTCCTTACTTGGGCTTCAGTATGTTAACATGCTATCTCCAGTGAGCCCCTGCTAAGCTGCAAATGACATGCGAAACATTAATTCAATAGCAAAGATACATTTGCCAGATGAGCTAATTGTCACTCAAAAAGAACTGTCATTCAAGGAGGATGCCTGAGAAACTGGAATATTGCACAAATCTGTGTTTACTCAGAAAGAGATCAGGACAAGACCAGAATTTGCTTTAGTAGGGTGTGCAGCAGATGGTCCTAGAGAGCTGGAGTTGGGGAGGGAGGTAGCGTAAAGCCATAGGAAAACTAGAGGTGGGAAGCAGGGATGGAGCAGGGTGAAACAAATGCATCAAATGACAACTTTGCCTACTTTGCTTTTCTGTCTAGGGACAGCCTTTGGCTTGCGGGTCCTGCAGTCACTCAGTGATTTGTTCTGGTAATTATCTAGCAAGTATCCCCCAAAGAGAATTCAAGGAATGGGTAATAATCTGAAAGTACACACTGCCTCTGATTTCTGGGCCTTTTTCATATCCTCAAGAGTATTTTTCAAGACTTTTCAAGAAAGTACAAGACAATTGCTGCCAATCTGAGAAGATTTTACCAAAGATCCTCCTGGAGCATCAGAAACAGAGAATTTCTAAGTGGAAGAGACCAGAGGTCACCCAGCCCTGCTCTCTGCATAATGCCGCATAGAGCTGATCATTAGCCAATATGCATTCCATAGAACAAGTCCTCAGCTCCTCATTTTCTCCTGCTGTTTACCATCCCAAATATGGAGGACCCATAATGCACAATTTTCCTGATAGCAGATAATATTCAGAAACACTATTCTCATTTACAGAGAAACATAAATAAGGTTAGAAAATCCAGATACTGGAAAGAAACCCCAGCCTCTTTTGTTCCTATCCCAGGGACTCTGCCTAAACCCTCAAAGACTAGTAAGAACTTACCATAGCTTTAAAATATTTTCTTCAAAATTCCACAGTCATTTTTAGTAGCTGAGGATTAGGTAGAGGAGGTATGAAAAATAGAAATTTTCTATTTTGTAGAATATTAGACAATTCATAATAATAGTTGGCTTGGTTATTGTACACTTTGAAAGGAGGGCATAACTTGAATGACCACCTGTGAATTCTGGGCTTTCAAGGGCTCCGGGAGGTGCCTCAATTTCCTGGGAGCCTCATTGAAGACGACATTAGGGTAGACAGTGGAAATCCTGTGGCTATGATGTGAGGATCTGAACGAAGAAGGGGAACAAATACTTATCCCAACCTCAGAAGTCATTCATTCAACACATATTTACTGACTTCCTTCCAGATATTGGGCTAGAAAGGCAAGGAACTCATTATGGGTTAGGAGGAAAGTAGATGATCCAACTCTTATAGTCATGAATTGTTTTTAATGTGACACTGCACAGTGTTCCTCAAAAGTGGAAAGAATTGTTCTCAAGTTTCAGAATTGGTGAAGTATGAGAGCAATGGCACAGG